TTATGTGACAAACTTTATCATCAAAATATGTTATACTTAGGTGATTTTTATGGATTATATCCATTTTTCAGCTGAGAACAATAAAAACCTTGGGTTTAGAAATTACATAATTTTAAGGACAGAGGCAGGAAGCATACCGATACTTTAATTGAGATTTCAGGGGAGTTAATAGATTGTTCCACAGTTAGAAAGCAATAGAGATTTTTTTCTTCACCAAGACCAGTTATATTTGTGAATTTCTCCTAATGGAGAGAATAGATAGAGTAGTAATGTAAAAGCTGTGAAAGCAAAGTTATGTAGCAAAATTACAATAACAACTTTATTGCAGTTTTTCTTTGAGGTCTGTATTTAGTCAGGGTTCTTTGGTTTGCATGTGAAAAATCCGTGTTTGAACTACCTTATGCAGAGAATAGCGGGAACGTTGGTTCAGTGGAAATGGGGGACCCCAGTCACGCTAGGATTTTTTCATTGTCTCTCATATCTCTTCTCTCAGTCAAGTTTCTTATTTCAGGTTGGTGTTTTGCCCATTGGCAGAAACTATGGCTGCTGGAAGTTCCTACTCCTCTTATTTCTGTTTTGTGTGTATGTGTTTCTTTTTTAAAAAATATTTTTTATTGATTATGCTGTTTCAGTTGTCCTAATTTTCCCTCTTTGCCCCCGTCTACCCGATAGCCCCTATTCACCCCGGCACTCCCTCCTTTGGTTCATGTCCATGGGTCATGTATATAAGTTCTCTGGCTGCTCCTTTTCCTATAAAGTTCTTAACATCCCCCTGTCTATTCTGTACCTAACAATTTGTACTTCTTAACCCCTACATCTTTTCCTTCACTCTTCTCCTTCCCCCTCCCAACTGATAACCCTCCAAATGATCTCCACATCTGTGATTCTGTTTCTGTTCTGTTTGTTTGCTTAGTTTGTTTTTTACATTCAGCTGTGGATAGTTGTGAATTTATTGCCATTTTAATGTTCATAGTTTTGATCTTATTTTTCTGAAATAAATTCCTTTAACATTTCATATAATAATGGATTGGTGATGATGAATTCTGTTAGCTTCACTTTGTCTGGGAAGCACTTTATCTGTCCTTCCATTCTAAATGATAGTTTTGTTGGGTAGAGTAATGTAGGTTGTAGGTTCTTGCTTTTCATCACTTTGAATACTGCTTGCCATTCCCTTCTAGCCTGCAAAGTTTCTTTTGAGAAGTCAGCTGACAGTCTTATGAGAACTTTTTTATAGGTTACTATCTGCTTTTCCCTTCCTACTTTTAAGATTCTCTCTTTATCTTTAACTGTTGGCATTTTAAAATGGTGTGTTTTGGTGTGTTCCTCTTTGTTTCCATCTTGTTTGGATTGTCTGTGCTTCCTGGACTTGCATGTCTATTTCCTTCATCAAAAGTAGGGAAGTTTTCTTTCATTATTTTTCAAAATAAATGTTCAATTTCTTGATCTTCCTCTTCTCCTTCTGGCACCCCTATGATTCTAATGTTGGTACGTTTGAAGTTGTCCCAGAGGCTCCTTACTGTATTCCTGGGGTTTTTTTGGATTTTTTTCTTCTTGCTGTTTTGATTGAATGTTCGTTTCCTTTTGTTCCAAATCATTGTTTTGATCCTCAGCTTCATCTACTCCACTGTTGACTTCTTGTAAATTTTTCTTTATTTCACTTAATGTGTCCTTCATTTTTGTGTGAGCCTTTTTTGTGCTGTTGAAGTACCAAATGAGTTCCTTGAGCATTCTGATAACCAGTGTTTTGAACTCTGCATCTGATAGATTGCTTATTATCATTATGTTTAGTTCTTTTTCTGGAGTTTTGTTCTGTTCTTCATTTGGGCCATGTTTCTTTGTCTCCTCATTTTGGCAGCCTCCCTGTGTTTGTTTCTATGTATTAGCTAGAGCTGTGCTTTGACTTCTTGTCTTAGTAGCGTGGCCTGTTGTAGAAAAGTGCACCTGTTAGTTGGATAGGGTGGAGCCTTAGGGCAACCCGTGTGAATCAGGTTGATGGAGTCTCATATATTCAGTGGCTCTGTGTGGGGGAGGGCTCAGAAAAGGGACAATGGCCACTGCCTGGCTTCTGGAGTTTTGTCTAGGAGGAAGCTGTCCTCTGGCACTCACCCAAATGACAGACACTTCAGTGTCTCACCGTATGCTCCTGGTGCCCTTCCAGCTGCTGCCCTGGTGCTGGAGCCTAGGGGAAGTGAATCTGTGTAAGTCCTAAGTCTTTTGTGGGCCCCTACCTTTTTGGCACCATGGACTGGTTTCTTGGAAGACAGTTTTTTCACAGACCGGGGGGAGTGGGGTATGGTTTTGGTATTATTCAAGCGCGTTAAATTCAAGCTCATCTCCTGCTGTGTGGCCAGGTTCTTGACAAGCCTGGACCGGTACCAGTCGTGGCCCAGAGGTTGGGGACTCCTGTTTTAAGAGGAGACAACGGAGAATTTTGCAGTTTCTTCCTCTGCCCGTACACCTACTGGTTTTTACAGCTAGAAGTTCTGGGGACTTACCTTCCTGGCACTGGAACCCTGGGCTGGGTGGTCTGGTGTGGGGCTGGGATCCCTCGCTCCTGAGATGTCCCTCCCTATTTTTATCTACCGCACTTGGGTGTGGGGCTGCCCATTCCGCATCTCTGCGTCTCTGCCCCCTACCCGTCTGGGTGGATGTGATTTCTTTAATTCCTTGGTTGTCGGACCTCCATACAGCTTGATCTTCTGACAGTTCTGGGTGATAGCTGTTTCGTAGTTTAGTTGTAAGTGTTTGCTGTGGTTGTGTGAGGAGGCAAGCCAGGAGGCGAGTTGTGTTTACCTACGCCCCTGTCTTGTGATTTTCTGAGCCAGGCCCTTGGGGATGCACTGCGTCTGGCCTTGGCTGCTTTTCCCTTTTCTCCATCCGAAGCTGGGGGTGAGGCCGATGTTCGTGTCCTGCACATGGGTAGGTTCCTGCGAGTCGGCAGGGTTGCACGTGGCTGGAGCAGGAGTTGGATGGCATGGCTACGTGGATACCAGTATGCCCCGCTCCTCTTATTTCCAGTGTCAAGAACAGAGAAGGGCTGATTGGCCCAGTCTTGTCGGGCCAATTCCTTTCCTTTCCAGCTGTGGCCAAGAGGGTGGGGTTCTATGATTGGATCAATTCTTGACCCTTGGCTAACTCATAGTGACTAGAGACTGAAAGCTGAAACAAGACAGCAGCTTTCATTCAAGCCGCGTAGGTAAGGGTTGGTAATGGGGTGGGGGAAGGAGAGGTAAAGCAGTGCGGAGGGGAGGAGAAAGGGGCATTTCTCGGAAGAAACAGAGATGCGGTTCCAGGCAAAAATAAGAAGAGTTTTCTCCACTAGTAGTCTTTTTGGGAAAAATGTGTGCTTTACTATAATTCAGTTCACTTCAGTTCAGCAAACTAGGTAACATTATTTTATAGAATTTGGTTCTGAGAAAAATAATTAAAAATGAAAACCTTTAAAATTTAGTGCTTCCTATATTTTTATCTCTGTTTTTGCACCTTTTATGTGTGTTTTCTCCTTTAATCTCCACAGTCATTTGAAGTATGCGTTCCCATTTTAGGGAATGCGAAGAGGTTCAGAGAGTTGAGATGCCTTATCATTGGTCACATGACTGGAGAACGGCAGAGCCAGAATTCAGATAACCAGGGTTTCTGGAATGTAATCCAGGGCACTTAGTACCATATGAGACTTGCTTTTTTTTAAAAAAAAATTATTTTAAATTTATTTTTTTAACTAAAGGTTTTATTGATTTATTTTTAGAGAGAGGGAAAGGGAGGGAGAAAGAGAGGAGAGAAACATGGATGTGTGAGAGACACATCAATCCGCTGCCTCTGGCACACCCTCGGCTGGTGACCTGGCCCGCAACCCAGGCCTGTGCTTCACCTAGGAATCGAACCGGTGATTCTTCTGTTTGCAGACCAGCACTTAATCCACTGAGTAACACCAGCCAGGGCGATACTTGTTTTTTGATTCACTTCATTCAGAAGATGTATAGGGTCAGTTATAAAAACAGCCCTATGTGTTAAGTGCTCTGATAAAAATGAATCATGAGTAGTATGAAATATTAGGAAAGGAACCTTAGAGACCATAAGTAGTACAGTGGTTCTCAAAAAGAACGCAGTACAGTAGTACTTCATGGGCTGGAATGCCTCTTTTTTGAGGTCTTGAGTTTTTTGGAGGCAACTTTGAATACCTTTTGTGTAGGGAAACAGAGCCAGACAGGGTAAATAAGTGACTTGTCGCTTTCACGTAATTAGGTATTATAGGGATTTCAATCATATTCTTGTTTTCAGTTATATGGTGAGCGACAATTTGTTAATGAAAAAACCATGAAGCTTACAAAAATCAATTAGAGTGAATTCAGAGTTACCCTACATAATTTTATTCTTCAGTTTGGTGGTACTTTTACAGCATGTCATATCCACTTCATAGCTCTAATTAAACATCTGTTGCATTTAGTACTATTTGTTGAGTTAGACAACTTCTCTGAACCAGGCTAGTCTTCTATCTGCAGAGCTATTTATGCTACATTCCTTATATAGTGACTCCTCCTATAAAATACAGTGAACTCTCTATATACATAGTTGAGTAGGAGAATTTCAGAATTTGGATAAATAAAATTAATGTAGGTAATATTTAGACCTTGCTTGGAAATGTAAAGTTTAGCATAGAGAACATAGTCAATAATGTTGTAATAAATATATGCGGTGCAAGGTGGATACTAGACTTACTGTGACGATCTCTTTGTAAACTATATAAATGTTTGACCACTATGCTGCACGCCTGAAACTAATATTAAATAATATTGAATGTCAACTTTAACTGAAAAGTAAAAAATACTTAGATCTTGCTGATATTAATAACTGTGATGTATGTTCCAGTTTTGAATCTCTCTTCTTTTCAGTCAGAAATGTGAACAAGTGGTACATTGGGTAACAGGAAGTTCATCTTCACAGTGGATAAAACAAAGTTTATTTATGTTTCCTATGCCCTGAGTTTTGTTTTCTCCTTTTAGGAGAGTCAAGCCCTACCCGGCGAGAAGCTGTGAAGAGAAGGACAGCGGAGTATCTCATGCGAGCAGAGAGTCTCTCTAGCTTTCATAGAAAACCTCAGCTTGATGATGTATCTCAGGTACGTCTTATGTTTCATTTTATTTTCTTTTGCCATTGTTGCTGTCATGTCTCTCAGCTTTATTTCTAATAAGAGTGTTTGAGAATTTTGGTCTTTGGATATCAGTAATTTTCTTAAGTTATTGGTGGAAAGAACAGCATTAAAGCAAACCACCAAAAGTGAAATAAAACGGGACTTGGGTTCTCCTCCTCTGTCTCTGCCCTTTGTTTCTTGCTCCACTCCTAATATCTAATTTATACTGAATGTTTTTTGAATTTTAAAGTTATGATTCTCACACAATTCCTGTACAGTTTTATTAATTCATGCTAAAGCTAATCATTTAAGTACAAATTGATCACCTAAAATTATAAAGGTAAAATTCTAACAAGGATGTTTAGATTATTTGGGACTACCCCTAGTCTAGTCTTAAAAACAAGTGAATGCTTGAAGTATTAGAAACATTGTGGTTTATTGTTTTTGTATCAGTCATATCTCTCTGATTTGGCACGTTCCTGGAAAAAAACTTTTATGTTATTTTTTTTGATAGTAAACCAAGTTTTTTCTGATGCAATTTAAGAATCATATCTTCTGGAAATGGGAGAAAGTATTTATTTTATTAATGGAATTAAGAGACAGACAGGCTTGTTTAGATCCCAACTCTGTCATTTGAAGCCATGGAAGTTTGGACAAGATACTTAACCACATTAGATTCAGTTGCTACATCTGAATAATGAGGATCATAGTAGTTCTTTGCTGGATTCTTTTTAGGATTAAATGAGTTTAAGAAAAGGCACTAAAAAAATGGACATGCACATACACACAAATACAAATCAAGTGCCCACCTTGTAAAGTGACCAGCTTATAAGCCAAACTTAAAAGACTAGAGTAATAAGTTTTAGCTTTATTTTTCATCTCCCATTGTATACTGCTTTATAAACTTTTTTCTTACATTTTTAATGCTTTTTATACCTTTTGAAAATGATAAAATGTCTCAATTTTCTAGTTAAAAAACAACTCAATGTTTAACCTTGATTCATTGGACCATTCAAACTTTTTGTTGCTGATTTTGTGAGCCCTTTTCATTTTCTTTGTGACCTTTTAAAGCATTCAGTTATCAAAAGTATACTTATTAGTGAGTTTTCTGTTAAGTATTGGGCCATTTTTTTTTTTTTTTGGAATAAAAAGATTATATTCCAACTTGGAAGTAATATACCTTTGTGACTTGTTCCAACATGAATATGTTTTAAATAAGATATCTGCTGACTCATTTTCAGATCGTTAATTATTGTGACTCTTCTATTCTGTATTGCTCACCAATCTTTTCCTGTTTTTTATCATGGTTGTTTTAATTACATTGTTTAATCCCTTTAGCTCTTCATTATTGATTTTTATCTTTTTAAAATGAAATATTTATCTAAAGGTTACTTTGAATGCAGTTCTTACTGTGTATGGGGTTGGCACCCCTCCACCCCCCGCCGCCCAGCCCCCCCGGCTCCCAGGTGTGCAAACCTGAGATGTACATTCTCATTTCTATTTTGGGGACATTGATAAAAGTATTAAATAAGATGGGTCTGTATGAACTTGTTTTATTAAATATATCTTATATGTAAATATTCTAAAAGTGTTAGGAAGTCACAATTTTCAGTATTCTGTCCTTTGCATTAATATTAACTTTGAATATTCTGCCTGCACTTAATCATTCAAGCTCTCCACTTATGTGTTTTCTGTTAGAGTTCCTTATAATCACTTTTATGAGCAATCATTTATTAGGAAAATAAATATATAGAACTTGTATTGCTTTTGACTTGGAGAAAGGAACTGTGAAGTATATCAGTCAGAATTTCCCTACAAGCATTACTTTTAATGAAAATAAAATTGAAGAGCTATAATATAGGAAAGTTGATTGTATTAGATTATATGTTAATTCATTAAGCATCTGTTAAGACTCTGTGTTTACAAAAGGAAACTAGATGTATTTTGGAGTTATATAATATATGATGAAAGTTTCTTTTTTTTGGAAGATTTTATTTACTTACTTTTAGAGAGAGGGGAAGGGAGGGAAACATTAATGTGTGGTTGCCTCTCACACGCCCCCTACTGGGGACCAGGCCCGTAATTCAGGCATGTACCCTAACCTGGAATTGAACCAGTGACCCTTTAGTTCACAGGTGAACACTCAGTCCACTGAGCCACACTAGCCAGGGTGGCAGTTTCTGCTCGTACAAACCCTGTAGCATAATTGAAGACCCAAAATATGTATATAATTGAGGAAATAAAAGAAAATGGTAAGGACCATGTAGAATAATGGGAATTTGGGTCAGAAAGGGTAAAGAGGGGTACCAGATTTGATTACTAGGATTTTTTTTTTTTCAGTCTTTAGGCAAGAAGAATAGAGGAGCGTTTTTCTTGCTAGAATAAGATGTTTTTCTTTTATAGAAAGCAATTGCTTTTTATTTTCATTTTGTATTTTATTCTATTAAACCTGACCCTTGTTTAAGGTCAGGGGCATGCTTGATTATTTTCTTTCCTAAAATTCAACTTAAATGTCTTCTCGAGGTTTTTTTTTAACTTGGCGAATTCGTTATTTGTCTCCATTAACTGTTTTTGGGCCTCAGTTTCAGTGAGCACAATGGGGGAACTAGTGGCAATGATTTCTAAGGCCCTGTTAGCTCTTAAATTCTACGTAAAGCAGGTATTATTTTTCTTTTGATTCCATATGCAAATATTTCCTTTCAGCCTGGTTGATTAAAGAAAATACAGGAATCCTTTTTTATATGAAAATTGTTTTGATTACTCTTTCTCCTTTTGGTGCAGGCTAGGTCATGACACACTGGACCTGAGTTTTCTGTGATGGTTTAAGCTTTTGCTTTATTGAATTTATTTATGATACTCTTAGGTGGTAAATATAGAAGTTCTGAATTTCCCAGTCATTGATGGTAATAGCCTTTTCAAATAAGGATAGAAAGGAACAAAAGCACTCTCCTACTGGTTTTTCCCTTCATTACTTCATTACTAAAGGGTTCCAAGAAAAAAACAGAACCAGATTTCAAAAAAACAGAAATGATCTTTGTTTGAAGTAAAGGTGAACTCTTAAGAGAAGGAGACATTTTTAAACTTTTTAAAAATTAAGTTGTAGGTGACTTTGAATGATTGAAGAATTAATATTAAAAGGGGATTTCCCTGGAAAACACTGAGCATAGCTTTTTTGCTATTTTTAGTTCTAGGAATTTTAAACTCAAGATCAATGAAATTTAGAAAAAGAGAGTAAATAGTCTAAACTTAGGACATCAAAGATTGCGTAGTTTCTAAAGTGTAAATACAATTTTTTTTGGTCACGCATTACAAGGTGTGAGTGAATGTTAGTACGTAGAATGTATGTCTTTCCTGAATATTTTGTGGATTTCAAATACAGTTGCTATTATAATATTGAAAGTAGTTTACTATTGTGCATTTTATTTGCTGGTATTATTGGTATTCCTCCATTGTTTTCGAAAACAGTATTTTAAAATGAGTATTGCGTCACTTTTAGCTGGACATGGGCAAAGCAGAGCTGGCAGCCACGAGTGTTCAAATCAGTCCTGGGACTGCAGTGAAGAGTCACGCTGGTAGCACTGTCTGAGGGAGGCCTAGGAGCCTGGGTATTGAGGGTCAGTAGGTTCCTAATGAGTGTCTTTGCAAAGGCAGAAATCTACAGATGAAGCCAAGTTCAGAAACTGGTATAGTAAGCTCTCAGGGTTTGGAGTGTGGATTCTGGATAAGTTTTTTGTTGTGTTTTTCCTTAGCCCTTGATTGATTATTTCCTCCCCAGTAATGGGGACTTACAAAGGTTATTTAAGGAGGAATACCTGACCCTACTTCAAATATGGTTGCTGGACTAGTAGCATCGCATCTCCGAGGACCTTTTTGGAAATGCAGAATCTTAGGATCCCCTGGTGAGTGAATCAGAATCCCCTTTTTAACAAGGCCCTCGAGTGATGTGCATATGCAGTAAAGTTTGAGAGGTGTTGCGCTAACAGAGTGGTAAGAACAGATAGAGATCACATTGAGAACAGGGAATAATATCAAGTGCAAAAGCCTGTGGGCAGGATAAATAGCAACTTTTTAATAACCCCATAAAACAAAAACAAAGGTAAGCTTCACTTAGCCATTTAGAGAGTGTGGAACAGAACGTGCTAACTGCAGTCCATGGGCACTGGCTGCCAGGAGCATTGTTGTGAGACAGGGGGGATCCACAGAGGTGTCTGCTGTGAGCTGGAGGAGCTGAGTGACACGGACCTGCTATCTTTGGTTTTGAAGATTATTGGGTCATCAATATTCTTGCCTCCTCTCCTTGACCCTTGTCGTTAGCTTTTGGTATGGAGAATACAACTGTTGCCATTGGTATTTAGCTGATTATCAATAAGGAAAGGGGGGAGCAAAGGAACTCAGACATTGAGCTTAGTAAGCTGGGGCGCACAGCCTGCCTGCCTCGCCAGGGAGCCACAGCTTCGGGCCCCGGGGGTCACAGCACTGGTCTGCCCAGGGGGTGGCCACTCCTCCCTTCCCCTCCTGGACGGAGCTGCTGAGGGGCACAGGGGGTGGTGCTGGACCACAGAGGCCTGCCAGCCTAACTAGGGAGAGTAAAAACTCGGTAAATTGATTGGTCATTTTGAAAAAGCTTCTGGTCTTTTCCAGCCCAAGCTAATATAATCCCAGGGGAACCAAGGAAAACACACACACACACAAACACACACACACACACACGCATGCACTCCCCCTGCCCCCCCCACAGTCTCTCTCTCCCTCCCAGTGACCCTCATGCCCACGGTACACACACCCATTCTCTCCATGGCCATGTGGCCCTAGCCGCCCCATGACCCATGGCTGTGAACTGCACACACAGGATCCAGGAGGCAGCCTGAATACCACAGCGCAGCAATTGACTGTAGCTGGAAACACACTAAACTAGCCAAACGCTGGACCGCACTGAGCTTTAATATGGCACAGGATCGCTGAACGTTGATTCTATTTCCGACCGTGATTTTCCATGGAGGGATGGAGGGAGATGGGACATTGGAAACCCAGGGGCAGCTTCTATTTCTACACGAGTAAACCATTTTGTCACACTGTATTCGTCCCTGCGTGGGTCCTTAGAATGCTTTCCTTGAGATCTCATGGGAGAGTCTAATTGCCACCAGCAACACAACTACTATTTGCTTCTCTAGGCATCTTCTGTTACAGTAACTAATGCATGTAAGTAAAAAAAATTTTTTTAAATTTACTTTTTTTAAATTAAGGAAATCAACCACATTGCCTAGAAATACACTGATTCCTCCCCCACCCCCAAAGCATTGGCTGAAGTTTCCCAAAATAATGTCCTGTATTATTTTATAAGTAAGATTTAATCCCCTGCTATGTATTGCCTACTTCTATCATCTTAGACAAATTGCTTCACTTCACTGCTTCTCAGTTTTGTCATATAAAAAAAGGGAATGTTGGACTTGATCTCTCTCTTTCTGTTCTTAAAATTCTGTGGATTTCTGTTTCGTTTTGCCCTCTGAAAAAAGGAAGAGATCTATAGGGATTCTACCCAATTTAAATGCTGCTTATAAGAAATATAGGATTTTTTATTGATGATTTTATTTCATGATCTTTCTTTGTTCATTTCTTTGATCTTAAACTTTTATAGATGGTTAAAGTAGAAAGAGAACTTTAATGATCACTTTACCTTTGGTCTTTCACCATTACAATTTCACCATTGTCGTCTTTGCAAAAGTAACCTTATTAAATCACTGTTTTCTTTGGATTGTTTCTTGCACAAAAACTTATTTTATAGACTCTGGATAATATAGGTTAAACTTTTCTTTCTGGCATTCAAGGCCCATGAAAACTGACCGGCCCAAGTGCGTTATTTTATTTTTCTCTGTTCTACAATTTGACCATTATTTCCCCAACAGGGTCGGTTTCTTACCAATCCTATGGGTAATATCCTTTTTCTAACCTAATTTCTATTTAGCATTTGAAATCACTGATAGTTCTACTTCTTTCTGAGACCATTTTATCTTACACTAACTAGTGACTTGTCTCTATGGTCTTGTATTTTTTAAAAAAGTTTTGTTATCTAACTTTTCCTGATTTGGCTTATCTCCTCAAATAAACTATAAACTTCTTGAAGCTGGTGACTGTGTCTTTTGACTTTTTTATTCCTTTTTAGTTATAATGTACATAGTGGGCACACAGTAATTATATATTGAAAGGTGCAGTAGGGATTTTGTAGTTTGCTATCTTTGCTGTTGAGATTGCTACATTGAATCGATAACTTAAAACTATTTTTGGAAACTGATAGATCCAATGACATCAATGAATAAGAAGGTACAAGTAGGAGATAGAGATGTGGGATGCATCTGGCCATATTTTCAAAGGCAAATGTAATGGATTAACCATCACTTAGAGTATTGTTTCCTCCCCCATAAACTTTCCTCAACATTTCTTTCACCAAAATCATAAGCAGTTCTTATTCTTCCTTGATAATAGAGTAGGGGGTTTTAATTGTCAGACTATGCTGTGTAGCAGGAAGACTTGCAGGCAATAGAGTTGGGGTCTGGACTAGGATTTTCCACTACTCTTTCTAACCACAAACCCTCAGCTAGTCTGAGCTTCCCTGTATTTATCTGTAAAGTGAGGGTGATTGTAACTTCTTATAACTACTCCACTCAGGCCATGGTGAGGGATAAAGATGAAATGATGTAAATTAAGAAAGGAGATACTATTTCTGCTATATGTATTAAAATCCCCTGCTGAATGTTTTTTCTATCCTTAAAAACATTAAGGATTTTGAGCTTTTAGGGAGGCAGAGATCTCTTGTTTTTTTGTTTTTTTTTTTAATGCCATCTAGCTTAGCACCTCGTGAAATGTTAAATAAGTATTTTTTTAAACATAGCCTAGAAGTATAAATTAAATCAATTTTAAATGATTGTTATCTAGTCCAATTGCTGTTATCACCACCGTTCTCAAGTTAAATCTTTTTTAAAAAGTTGCCTTCTTTTTAAAATCGAGCATCACCTCTTCAGGCATATGGAAGTTAGTATTTGCTTGTTTTGAACCTAAAAACAGGACAAAATAAAGCAAAATGAAAGCAATTATATTTGCTGCTTGTAGAAAATATCAGCCGTGAATTTTTTCCTTTGTAAATAACATCTAATTTATTTCTGCAGTCTCCCTCTCTTTTTGTTTCTCTCCTCTGTTCCCCCTTCCTTTCTATTTTGTCCTTTCTCTTTTCAACTAACATGCTAGTCATTGTGAATATAAAGATGAATAAGCTATATTCCCTCTTCTCAAGGAGATTCCTGCCAGTGATGTTGGTCTTCCCCCAAGGACTTGAAATACCAAAAATGGTGTCTCAGTAACTGTTACTCGTGCCATTTGACGACCCAGGGTTATTTATCTTCCATTTATGGGGGAAACATGTTTCCTATTTAGTCAACTAAGTTTTTGGTAATGCAAAGGTCTGCTTTGAGGATATAATAAAATAAAGCTTTGTGTCTCCTGTCACCCTTTGCAGCATCACCATTTTAACTTAAAGGTTAATGTAGCATTGCTTTCTGGGTATAAATGCCAAATGGAGGTGTTTCTGGAGTTTATCTAGTCTCATGTTTTACTTTACTGATAGTGAAAAACTAAGATCAATGGATAAGAAGTCAGTATTCTTTTATTGTATGTAGTACTGAAATATGCCTTTCTGTGTTCACCAATCTTTTTGGACTTTTTTTGTAGCTAGTGGATTACGTTTTCCACATCACAGATGTTCAAATACTTAAAAATTTTTTTCTCCTTTAAATCATCTCTTTTCTAGCTAAAACAAGTTTAGTTTTAACAATTATTTGGTGTATGGTGGAGTTTCTTAATTTTTCACCATGACTGGCAATTCTTCTAGTTGAACTTGATTCTGTCAATCCATCTTAAAATACATAGTATATATTTATAAAATAACACAAATGGACTATAGTCTCATGATGAAAGAGAATGACTTGTGTTCCCTCACAGCCTAAGTTTATCTATTACTACATTGTTTTGTAGTTCTCTGTTCTAAATTACTCCCGAGCCATCTGGGGTAAATACGAGGCTGTGATTGATTGATGGCTCAGTTACCCACTTGCTACAAAGTTTCATCATAACTGTACAGTTCTGAACTGAATTATAGTGCTAGAAGCTATCAGCTCATTAAGTTTTCTTTTTAAAATTTTTTCAAAGTTATGATTTATTTACTTGCAACTTTTTTCTTGCTTTTTCTTTTTGATTTTCTTTATTTTTGATTTTTTTTTTAACAGACAAACAGAAACTTCTTTTATCTTTCCATCCTCTGATTTATGATAAATTTAGTTTCCTTTGGCCTGGCATTTGCTTCAGCAGGCAGTCTTCCTTCAAGTACCTCCCTGATTGATGTGTAATCTTTGATATCTTTCATTAGCCTCCAGGATCACTAAGTTCAAGGCCCCCTTGGAACCTAAGGAGCCCTGCCGAGGAGCTGAAGGCCTTCAGAGTCCTTGGGGTGATTGACAAGGTAATTCTTCAGTGCCTCTTCAAGAGTTCAGTCATAAATCGACCTCATGCTGACATTATGTCTTTGAAGCTTTGGATCTTAAGGATATGAAACAAAAGGAGAAAATGACTCAAATGCATCTGCACTTTAAAATAACAAAAGCAGAAGAGAAAAAGCTTTTATCTAAGCAATTCATGTAAGGTCATGCAAAATATATTGGAGGTAAAGGAGAAGGTGCATGTTTGTTGGCATTCAGTAGTGCAGGGGTTGGGTTTTTTAACCTGTTATAGCAGGGGAAAGATACACTTGCTGTTGGTTACAAAAACTTGGGAGTCAGTAGTTGCTCAGCATTCATTGGAATTGTCAGTGTAATAGTCACAAAGAAAAAATGGCATTCTCTTAACTACTATTTATTGAGTACCTACTATGCGTCAGACCATGTATTAGGCATTTTATATAAAATAATTTATTTAAGTCTCACAGCTCTGTTATTTGCATCTCGGTGGGAAAGTGATGTTTAAAACAGGTTAAGTAATTTGCCTGAAGATCACAAAGCTAGTTTAGGGGAGGGTGGGGACTTCAAACCTAGATCTTTGTGACTTCAAAAGCTGTGCTCTTCTTCCCTCCCTCCCTTCTGTTCCTTTTTTCTAAATCCCCATTTGAGGACATGCTTATTGATTTTAGAGCGAGGGGAAGGGAGGGAGAGAGAGAGGGAGAGAAACATCAATGTGAGATAGCAACATTGATCAGTTGTCTCTCCCATGTGCCCTGACCTGGGAGCAAACCCACAACCTAGGCATGTACCCTGACCAGGGATCGAACCTACGATCTGGGATGACACTCCAACTGAGCCACACCGGCCAGGACAAAAGCTACACTTTCTAAAAATACACTTAACTCCCCTCCACAAACACATACACACACTTTTATATTTGGAATAAAAGATCTAAAATAACAGAGATATCTGCCATTGAGTTCCCCACAATTTGGTGATATCTCGGATATGCCAAAAATGAACAGCACTGGGCCTCTTAGAGAGTTTACAACCATATACAATATTTACACAATTTAAATTTATATAATTTAAAAACCATATACAATAAACTGTGTTTGAAATATATTTGATCAACCTTTTTTTTTAACTTTTTCGTATTAAGTTACGGTATAAATCATTTTAGATCTTTTTTACATTAACCATCTTCTATGAAGCACCTTAGTGGTCATTTGTAACTTAATGTTCACTGAGTACTTTTTGTATTCTAAAGTGTGCATGTGAGTCCATGCTAAAATTAAACAATACGAAGTGTATCTCAGGTCATTTAGATAGTAATTCAAAGTTTGAGGTACATCAGAAGGAACATTAGGTTGGATATCACTTACAGCTCTCAGTGTCATTAAATTCTTAAAAGCATCACTTTTTTTCTCCAGTAAATTTATATGACTGAATTTTAAACTTAAAGCATTCTAAGCAGTAGGACTTTGGAGCCTGAAATAATGCCTTAACCATGTTTTCTCTAGCTTTTCCACTTTGGAGAACATTTAGGTTGAGAATACTGACAAGCAAAATAGAAATTGAGTAGGTCCTAGGGTCTTGGATTTCTGTGCAGGCCAAATAAACTTTTTTGATGTACAGTGTTTGCTCCTTCTCTTGGATCTGTTTATTTTGACAAAGTGTGTCCTTTCATTGCTATTCTCTAATTATGAGTGAGTCACCTTGAAGTCCTGATTCATTCATTTAAGGACTTTTGACAGTGGAGAAATTCCTAAAGTTTTTGCTGAGGAGTAATTCGTTACTGGCTTTTCTCTGTTAACCTGGGAAATGCGTTTGGTGTTTAGTAGGTGACATTTAACTTTTCTAAGTAGAGATAAGCAAATAGGTATGGGAATTAAGCTTTGCAAATAATCTTTTAAATTTTGTAACATAGTCTCTATTTTGCAAGAACATGAATAGGTAGATTATTAAAAATTTGCATTTTTCTTAAAGATAAATTCCTATCCCCTGTACTGAGGAATACCTAAAATTTGGGTTTTACAAACTTGAAGTTTGGAAGAGAAGTGTTGAATAAATTCAAATGGCTAGAAATACACAAACTATGTTAATCTAGCCTGTACAGAACACGGTTTCTCTGATCCTGTTTCATTACAGTAGTATTTGTTCTTTATGAGTTATTTTGAGTGTTTATTAGGAAAATATAATTCCTCTAGGATAGGATAGGGTTTTAAAAAACCGATTAGAGAAAGAGAAAAACATCGATTTGTTTTTCCGCTTGTTTATGCATTCATTGGTTAAGTCTTGTATGCGCCTTGACCTTGGGATGTGCTTTGGCGTATTGGGGCGACACTCTAACTGGCCAGGAGGTTTTATAAGCTTTGATATAGAAAATAGATAAAGCAGATTTGTTCATTAATATCTAGACCATAAGCTCCTGAGAATAAGGTTGTGTGTTTCTTGTTCATCTTTATATTCTCAGCACCTAGAATCATGCCTGGCACATAATGGTCACTCAATAATTACTTAATGAATAAATTGAAACTTTAAATACTGTATTATTTGTAGAGTGACACCTGCTGGTTTAATGTGAGGTTGCTACCTAGCACTACTGTTCAAGACACTTTACCCAGATGGACAGTAATTCCATACCTGTGACTTGGTGTAGTATTCAAAGGCAAATAAATGACTATTTGTGCTTTAATTGAAATTAGAAAACCCTTCATTAACATATATATTCAACAAGGAATTTAAGCATTAGGGCTCTTGAATTATAAATAAACTGGTGTGCATCCAGAATCAAGAATGATAAGGCTAGTGAAGGCCCTCCAAGTCATATCATATACAGAACAACTGAAAACCAAGTGATGGTGAGCCTGATAAAAACACATGTGGTGGCCCTGATTGGTGTGACTCAGTGGGTTGGACGTTATCCCCCCAAAATGAAAGGTCGTTGGCTCAATTCCCAATCAGGGCACATGCCTACGTTGCGGGTTTGTTTCCTGACTCAGTCAAGCATGGGTCAGCGGTCTTGTTCCCTGGGTGCGAAAGAGAGGCAACCAGTTGATGTTTGTCTTTCTCGTTGATGTTTCCCTCCCTTTCTCCCTCTCTTCCTCTCTCTCTAAATAATATAAAATCTTTTTTTAAAAAGTATGATGCTTCTATTTTTGAGGGCTATCCAGTATAGAGGGACTATATAATGTTTTGTTCAAATCTTGAGGGTGAAAGGGAATATTAATTATGCCAGCACAACATCTTGGACAAAGCAGGATGTCTGGTTTTCCCAGGGGAAAGGTAGTAAGGAATGAGACTTGTTTGTTAATATCCTTATAGGACTCAATTAGAACGAAATGACTAGAAGTTGTCAAAATTTTGGTTAATGATTAGAGATACCTTTTGAGAATTAGGTTGACCAAAGGCAAACTGGATTTCTTCACATCTTGTTTTGTGTCATTAGAGATATTCAAGCAAAGGCTAAGGGATCATTGGTGGGGATACTGTAGAAGGAATTCAAGCACTGAGTGGATTTTTACCCCATATAACTTTTAAAGATTTCTTTTAGCCCTCAGATTCATTTATACATAATCTTCATGTAGTAACAGCAGGACAAAGTTGAAATTAGTGGAAAGATCATACTTGGATGAGAAGGATGGATTGCTATTGTTTTTATCTAAGTTTGTTCATGTGTGGGTGCAGGCTTTTGTGTTTGTGTGTGACAGCTATGCATATAGGGGGTATGTAGATGTTTGTGTTGTTAAGGGTTGTTTATATATAGGTAATTTTCAGTTGAGTTATAAGTCTGGGTTGGTATTGTAGTTTGACTGGCGATAGGATGTCCAAGTGCCAGGAGAGTTTCTGAGAAAGTTCACTATTGTGTGACTTTCCTAAAAGGATAAAGGAGTCTGTAGCCTAGTAAACAGCAATGTACTAATTGTCAGTTTCCTGGTTTTTATATTGTGCTGTAGCTGTGTAAGATGCCACCATTAAGAGAAACTGGTAAGAGTATTTGGGACTCTGCTATTTTTGCACTCCTTTTAGAAAAGAGTTTTTTGGGTTTTTTTAAAGGCTAGGAAGAACACTGACTTGAACAACAGAGTAGTAATGCCAAGATGTGATCCGCTTGTTCAGTTAATTCATCTGGTTTGTGTGTAGCCAGAGAGTCATCCAGCACGTGGGGGCGTGTGTAGCGTTCACAGGATTAACCGGTGAAGGCGGAGTGCTGGAGTGCCCAAATTCCTTGCCACTCCTTGAAAAACAACTTCAGTGGGATGTTATAAGTCATTGTTGTAAGAAATGCCACAAGCTCTGGCAGGGTAGCTCAGTTGGTTGGAGCACCATCCTGATCATGCATGGTTGCGGGGTCATTTCCCTGTCTTCCCACAGGCAAGAATCAACCAATGAATGCATCAGTAAGTGGAACAACAAATTGATGTTTCTCTCTTTCCCTCTCCTCCTCTCCCCCTCTCCCTCCTCCCTATCTCCCTCTCTCTTCCTCCCTCCCTCTCTGTCAAATGAATAAATAAAAATTAAAAGAGAATGCCACATATTTTGTAAGCCTGTCAGTATTCAAGTGCCTTGGCATTTTGTTATCAGGGTAGCCTTCCAACTTTATTTGATGCTTGCCAGGCAGAATTCTTAGTTTGACTCACCAGTGGAAAAAGTGTAAGAGTTTCTATTCTGTATCTATAATGTGATTGAGAAAATTTGTGGAGACTGTTCAGATTGAGTACATGCCAAGAGATTGGCACTTTTTTTTAAGGCTTCTAAGAAGTATCCTCTAGGTGACACATGGAAAAACTGCCCTCGTTGGGAAAGCAGAAGCATCAGTATTTGGATCTCTGCTCAGGGAGGGGAACATCGAGTTGAACTGGATCAATGGGAATTTGTCCTTTACCTAAGCAGTATGGCGGACATGTTTCTGTTCAGCATTTCATATAGGAGGAGACCACACATCAGCCCTCCCTCTTCAGATCATGGCAATTTCAATCTATTGCATAGGCATAGCCACTAAACTCTGTTATTAGGAGAAAATGTGGTAGTCCAACAGGAAATTACCTGGTGTCTTTAATGATATTAAATTAAAGGTGGTGACTTTTGCTTTTGGAAAAATAGAGTTCTTTTTTCTAATTTTTCTGCAAAGTACAACTAAAACTCTGGACATTAGATAGAAAACAAACATAAAAAGTCTCTGAAAAGTGATGAGTAGAAGGAAAACTGGCTGGTGACTGTGGGACCCACTGGCCTGCATGGTGATGAACCGCTGCATTTTCTTTTGCCTTACATATTCCAGGCTGGGTCCTGGGGAAATGGACAGCTTGGAAAAGCCAACAGACACAAACAAAAACAAACCAAACAAAAGCCTGCTCTTTCTAGCCAGAGGACTAAGGAAGGAGCAGCTTAACCAGACAGAAGACTTTTAGACAATAACCACTCTACTCTATCCAAACAGCAGAGAAAAATGTCGGCCCTACCTGACCACCACTAGTAAAAGCCATGCGAGACACCTAAACTTTTATCCTTGCAAGGCTGTAACAAGGCTCTGCCTCCCCCTGTTGGGATGGTGCTTTGGGGAGCCTGGGCTGTTAGCCCTCTTGGTGGTGAGGAGGCTCCCCTTCCTTTCCCCACTGGGGAAGTGTCAGAGGGGCCTGGTAGAGATTTCGGGTTTGACGACTGACTGCCCTGTGGCAATGCGGCCACCTGTACCTGATGTCAGTAGAGGCCACCTGTGGAGCATTAATGAGGCACCTTTGTCTTTTCCAATGATACCAGCCAGGGTGGTATCATTAGAGGCATGAACTCCTACCCCCACCCAGCAGTAACCAAGAGTCCCGTTTTCCTCCCCCACGTATCAGTGAAGGCAGAACTGGGAACCGGAAGTTCCCTCTCTGCTGGGGAGTAACAAACCAGTCATCTCATCCCCCCACGAGAATGCTGTCAGGGGAAAACTGCTTAAAATAAAAAATTTAAATAAGATCACACTGGCTGGTGTGGCTCAGTGGATTGAGAGCCAGTCTGTGAACCAAAGGGTCACCGGTTCTATTCACAGTCAGGGCACATACCTGGGTTGCAGGCCAGGTCCCCAGTAGGGGGCACATGAGAGGCAACCACACACTGATGTTTCCCTTTCTTTCTCCCTCCCTTCCCCCCTCTCTTAAAATAAAAAAGTAAAATCTTTAAAAAAAATAAAAAATTTAAATAAGATTCAGAGTCTCATACTATAACCAAAATGTCCAGGTTTGTATAGAAACTCATTAAGAAAAGACAATTCACTGATCCCAATACTGAGTTGACCGAGGTGTTAGTTATCCCACAAGGATTTTAAAACAGCCATCATAACAGTGCTTCAGTGAGCAAGTGCAGACATACACAAAACAAACAAAAAAATAGAAAGTCTCAGCAAAGAAACAGAAGCTATAAAGAAAAACCAAGGGGAGATTTTAGAACCAAAAAATCAGTAAGAGAAAAAAAAAACAAAAACCTCAACTCAACAGCAGAATGGATAGGACAGAGAAAATAGTGCCATTTGACTGTAGAACGTTATAAACTCCCCAATCTGAATGGAGAGAAAGGGACTAGGGAAAGAATGAACAGAGACTCAGGAATCTATGAGCCTAAAATCAAAAGTTCTGACATTCATGCCATAGGGGTTGCAGATGAAGAGGAGGAAGAGATGGAGCTAAAAATTATTTGAAGAAATAATGGAGAGATATAATCCTTACAGATTCAAGGAGTAAATCCCAAACAGGGTAAAACACAAATCCATGGCAAGGCGCATCATAGTCAAACTTCTCATAAGTGAACACAAGACAATTTGAAAGCTGCACAAGGGAAGGAACACCTGACCTACAAAGGAAAAACAATTTGAATGACTGGATTTCTCATCGGAAGCCATCAATGCCATAGGGACGGCACACCATTTTTTAAGTGCTGGGAAAAACAACTGCGCTGAAAAGAACCTTAACAGTCTCCTACTAGATTTAGGGATCTAGTAGCAGCAGCATTCTGGGAGCTCACAGGTAGCAGGGGGACTAATGTCCTCACCAGTCTGGGGTGCAGGTTTTCACGTAACGCTCCTGTTTTCAGTCCCACGCCTCAGTCCCACCTTCAGCTGTCCGGAGTCTGACTTCACGTCTTTACAGAACGAACGTCTAGTCTTGCCCTGGGGAGGAGCAGGCAGCTCTGACTGGCTGTGCAGCGGTGGGAACGCACAGACTTTCCCCCAGTCCTCCTGGTTTCAGGAGACGCCTGGTGCCTCTCATTCCGGGAGCTCTGCAGGAAGAATTGGCTCCCTTTTTGTTGGTTTTTCCACCTTTAGACATTTGGCATCTGTTTTCTGTCTACTAAAATTTTGCCATCTTTTCACATCTCTTGTTTGTTAGTCATTCTACATCTTTTAAAATTTGTTAACTGTTATTCAGTGGCTTTTCTACAGGGGCTAATGATCTCTGTTTAACAATGTGTTTAAGAAACATCTGTGTTTAAGAAAATTTGACACTTTGTGTAGCCCCCTCAGTTTCAAGGCATCCATAATTTTGATGGACATGTCTTTGTTGACCTTTTTCAAGTTGTTACATTTTTTTCAGTCAAATAGTGCAAAGAGTTATATAGGTCAGTGGTCCCCAACCTTTTCGGCGCCAGGGACTGGTTTTGTGGAAGACAATTTTTCCATATACCAGGATGGGGAGGAGGGTGGTTTTGGGATGATTCAAACGCATTACAATCAAGCTCACCTGCTGCTGTGCGGCCCGGCTCCTAACAGGGCTAGAACTGTGCTGGCCTGGGCCCAGAGGTTGAGGACCCCTGCTGTAGGTGAATTATTATAGCTAGAATAATTACTTCAGGTTGACCCAGTACCCTCTGGGTACTGCTAGTTACACAGTTTCCTTCAGCTGTGTTTCAAATTAAGATTTAGGCATCCCAAACTATTTCTAAGTTTAAAGATGTACACTATAGTACAATTGTCTCTATTTTCCCACCAACACTTTCCCCTGCCCCATCCACCCATCCCTACCTCCCACCCTCAGTCCTTCCCCACTTTGGCTTTGTCCATGGGTCCTTTATACAAGTTCCCTGACTTGACCCTTCCCCTTTTTTTCCTCGTTAGTCCCCCCTCTGGTTACTGTCGGTTTGTTTTTTATTTCAATGTCTCTGGTTATATTTTGCTTGTTTGTTTTTGTTGATAAGGTTCCACTTATAGGTGAGATCATATAGTATTTGTCTTTCACAGTCTGGCTTATTTCACTTAATATAATGTTCTCCAGTTCCATCCATGCTGTTGCGAAGAGTAGTAGCTCGCTCTTTCTTTCTGCTGCGTAGTATTCCATTGCGTAAATGTACCATAGTTTTCTGATCCACTCATTTACTGTTGAGCACTTAGGTTGCTTCCAGCACTTAGCTATTGTAAATTGTGCTGCTATGAACATTGGGGTGCATAGGTTCTTTTGAATTGGTGTTTCAGGATTCTTAGGGTATAATCCCAGCAATGGAATTGCTGGGTCAAAACGCAGTTCCATTTTTAGCTTTCTGAGGAAATTCCACACTGTTTTCCACAGTGGCTGCACCAGTCTGCGTTCCCACCAACAGTGCACTAGGGTTCCCTTTTCTCCACAGCCTCGCCACTACTTATTTTTTATTGATTTGTTTATGATGGCCTTTCTGACCAGTGTGAAAAGGTATCTCATTGTGGTTTTAATATGAATCTCTCTGATGGCTAGTGATGCTGAGCATCCTTTCATATGTCTCTGGGTCCTCTGTATGTCCTTCTTGGAGAAGTGTCTGTTCAGGTCCTTTGCCCATTTTTTAATTGGATTGTCTTCCTGGAGTGGAGTTGTGTACACTATATTCTTCTTCCCTTTTTAAGATGTACTGTTATTTGCCTCTAGTCTGATTGTTCTTCCAGTGCCTTGTCAACACTGCTGCCAGGGTGATTTATAAAAATTAACTAAAGATGATCTTTCTAAAACTAAGAACCCTTTTGCTTAAATTAAAGTCCTTTAATACCGTCACATAGTTTTTAGGATAACATTCAAACTCCTTAGCTAAGCCTACAGAGATCTTTGTGATCTGGCCCCTGCTTTCTCTGTTGATTCTCAACTTTTTTCCTCCTCCTCTTTTCCCAGACCACCGTAGGTCTTGGTTACAGCCCTGTTGAACCTATGAGGAATACAAGGCATCATGTTTCACACATGATGTGCTCCTCTACCTGGAGTGGCTTTTCCTTTTCTTTCTCACTTAATTCCTTCTCGTTCTTAATTATTGTCTTCTCTTGGAAGGCTCCTTTGCTGTCTGATTTAAATATCCTTTGCATTTATTCATATTGTGTGGTAGTGTAACTTTTTTTTTAAATTACAGTTTACTTTCAGTATTATTTTGTATTTGTATGGTAGTTTTTTGACATTATTTCTGTGCCTCCTACAATAAGCCTTCACATGCCTCAAGTGGTCAAGCATTTTTCTTCTTCCTTTTTTTAAAAAAAATGTACATTTTTATGTATTTTAGTACAGTATTTATAAACATCTGTTATGCAGAAAAGATAATATAAATCCTGTGCTCAAGATATATGCCTTTGGAGAGTAAGTCTCTATAACATATGAAACATCAGCTTAGTGACTATAACATTTAATTTTAGACTCTTGGCACTAGCATAGTGACTTGCAAATAGCAGATACACAATATATATATGTTGAAATCATTTATTCTAATTGGCCTGCCTCCTCCCCATTACTCTACATGTCTTTTCCACTTCTGTTTTCTCATGCATTCATTCATTGATTCAGCAAATGTGTATTGAGCTTCTGCTATGTGTCGAGGGTGGTATTAGCCACTGGAGATCTAATGGTCAATAAAACACACCTAATCTCTACCCTCTCAGAGTCTATACTCGAGTAGGAAATATAAATAAACTTACTGTTATGATGCAGCATGCGCAAGTGCTCCATCCAGCCTGGGGCATCCAGCCTGGGGCTCTCCGGGGACTTCTTAGGGTGAGCACAGCAAAGGAAGTGGGGATGAGTAGGGAGACTCAGAGAGTCTGCCTTCGTTCTAGCTTCTC